CCCCCCCCCCCCCCCCCCCCCCCCCCCCCCCCCCCCCCCCAAAAAAAAAAAAAAAAGAAAGAAAGAACCACTCCTGCTCCAACAATTAACCCCACATAAACTACCTGTCTGCTATTTCCAATGACGAAAACTTGGTTAACAACGTTAAAATAGATTGGAGCATTACGATTCTCTTAACTGGGGAATGACTTATGGTTGCCCATCATAGAAACGGTACATGGCATCCTAAGTACTACACTGTAGTCTTCATGGAAATATCACTAGCATTTTGGAATAGAACTGACTACTGAGAAACATTATAGGGATGAATGGGACTGAAATTTTTCTCAAGTTTATTGGCCGTTAGAGGAATGGGTTCACAATTTTATTGAGAACAAATTGTGAATCCATTCTAACGACCAATAAGCTTGACAATTGGTATCAGAGCCACACTTTGTTCTCGATAGATTCAACTGCCATTGGTCTTTCGCTAGTTGACAATAGACTTGTACGAATACTCCCTTTCACCCGGTAGTTTCTACCAATTGATTTTGTTTTGTTGTTTGATTTGAACAAAAGACACCTACGATAGATCATGGAAATTCTTCTTTGCTTTAATTACCAACTCTAATCCTTCAAATCAAACATGTCAAAATAACACGATAGATGCCTTTACTGGAAGGCTTTTCAATGGGCTAATGAATAAAGGGAGTTTTGACCTCAAGGGCCCCTCTCCTTTGGGGAGAAACATGGTAAGCTCTTACCAGTAAGGAAGCTCAATCAGACAACCAAGAGAAGGGGTTTCTTTTAACCAAAAGGAACCTTAAAAGGTAAAGTTGTAATCCCCATCGACACTAATGATCCTCTTAGATATTAGTATTTTCTTCAGGACTCGTAGTCAATGAGATGAGTACTTACTTTAAACTTGAACTCGTAACTTGTCCACAATTGGAGTCTAATTGTTTATGTGGAAGGGTGGCCTAACACTGGTCTTTCAGTATTCTGTCTCTACAAACTATCCAATTCTAAACTCTAATATAGAACAACTTGTGAGGTTGCAATCTTGCAATGAGGCATCCCAAATTTCCACTTCTTACAAACGTTTGATCGAATTTTCCTAACGGAACCACCCCTCTGGTCGAATAGTTGATCAATATAAAATTGGAGTGAGATCAAAAGGGTTAAAGAATAACAACTATGTACCTTATCGTAAACACTGCCAAACCGAAGCTTAGTAAGGTGGATCAATTCTTCCTAGACCCATTTGCATCTCACAATGATGGGAGTTTTCTATTGATCTCCTGGTTTCTTTGGGACATTATTATTCTTTTAAATGATCCTTCCCTTGCTGTGAGGTTTTTAAGTGTGTGCTTAATAGTCTTTCCCTCAACAATAGCCTTTCTGATGTCTCTAAAATTTAGCTATCAGGTAGATTTTATGTAGCTAAGTCCAAAACCGATCAGTAAAAGAGCCTGACAAGTGAAGTGAAATACAGAGAATGAAGGCATACCTCCTGATAAAACTCTCACAGAAGCCCCTGTACTCTCCTGTATAGATTTGATTAATGAACCCTGCTTTCCAATTAGATTGATTGCTTGAGTTGATGCCACCAGTAACCGGACTGAACAGAACGAAGCTTTAGCCTCATCTTCATTCTCAGAAAATCCAGACACACGTTTAAAGACTCTTAAAACTGCATCCATTGCAGGGGAAAGGGGTGCCTCAGGCTCTTCTTTTCCTGAAATTAGCACCTGAAGTAAACATTAAACATTAAAAGCTGAACGAACAAGATCTCCTACTCAAAAGAAATTGTACAAGAATGCATCCAAAATTTTCTTTCGAATCAAAGTGAAGCATCCAAAAATGGTATTGCAACAACCTTCTAAAAGGAAAGGTTATACCTCTGATCTATATATATTACAGTTCTTCATTGAACCTAGTCCCAATCACTTGGGCACTCCTCTAAGTATAAGGTGCATAATCTTAAATAAACCAGTAAACACAATAATGTAAAACCAGCCTATCCAAAAACAACAAGATTATGGAAGTTAATAGACAGATCGCTGTAATATTTTGCCTCAAGTCTTTATTTTTTTTCAATTGACAACCGGGGTTTCCTTGAAAATTTTAAGGAAAATACAAGGGCATGCAAAGAAAAAAAGAACCCACAAGAAGAGCTCAAATAAAACCTAAACTATGTGGAGAAAAAAACTCCATAATAACTAATCCTAACAAATAATTATAGGAAAAAAAAACATCAAAATGTTCATAAACAAAAAAACCCTTTTGCCTCCCAAATCTAACTCTACTTCTAAGTTATAAGAGCATTGCGCCGCCATGGAACAGACCTCAATTCTATAATATATGTTCCTTTCGACCACAAGAAGCTCCATTTATACAACTACTTGACCTATTCTCGGACGGAAGCTGTGAAAGAAGTGGGAAATAGATCTTATGACTAACTAGTATAAAATTGATGGAACCAGCCAAAGATGGAAGAACGGCCTTGGTTTTCTGGAAACCTGAGGGCACGAAAATGGAGATATTTTTAGACTATGAATCATTTAATCCAGTTTAAACCAATATAAAGATAGAGATTCAACTCGTCATCCCTACGTAACCATGAGTAACAAAGCCATTTCCATTGCTAAATAAATTAAATAATTAAAAAAAAAACACTCACGACGCGATCAGGAGTGCCAACAGCACCATCAAGAACACGAATTCTAGCCCTAGTTTCCTCACAGATCTTCTTGATAAGATCGCCCCTGCGCCCAATAATGCTGCCGACTTTAACGACCGGTACAATAAGCCGGAAGACGCAGTCTCCGGGCCATCCAGGCCACTTTTTATCGGAAGCGACAGCATGATTGGGACTTTCATGAGGTACAGAATCCGAAGCGGGAGCCGATAAATAGACTTGGTTAGAGGGATCAATGTCGGATTCGGCGCCACCGGCTTCCGTAGAGTCCGGTTCGGGAGCAGCTTCAAAGGCAAGTTGGGGGCTAGAATTGAGGGCGTCGGCATCAGTGGAGCCATTCTCTGTAGTTGTGTTGGTGGCCATGGAGGAAGATGAAGAAGGAGGAAGAAGTTAGGGTTAAGATTTTCAGAAGGTTTTAAGAGGACGAAGGAAGAGAGGAAGGAAGTAAGGAAATGCAGGTTTTTTTTTTTTTTTTCTTTTTTTCTCTTTATTTTCGTAAATTATTGAAATAATAAAATTTAAAAACTAATACAAAAACTACCGTTGCTCTTATTGTAAAGATTTTATTTTTTAAATATCCATAAATTTATTTTAATAATATCCCCTAAAAAATTAAAAATATCTTTAAATTAAAAAAAAAATAAAAAATATCCTTTAATTTTTTATTTTTTAAAAAATAAATATTCATAAATTTTCATATATATAAATAAAATTTTATTTTTTTTCTTTTTTATAAAGGTTAAAGAGGTTAATATTACTTTTAAAATTTCATATATATATATATATATATATATATATTTTTTTTTTTTTTTTTATTATTATTATTTATTTATTTATTTATGGGTATTTTTATTACCTTAATTAAACCAATAATTTAACTTATTTGGTCAAATTGTTGTTCAACATTTCAAATGCTCTCCTACATCTCTTCTTTCATTCTCCAATCTCTTACTTTCACCTACTGCCTTCCTCAAACGATGCCCAATGTTCGACCACCACAGTCGACAACTACAAACGTCGCTAGCATATAGAGTCAAATTGACGATTGCAAGCTCTCGCTAGCACATTTTTTAGTGACATGCAAAAAGGTTGGATTCCAGCATGGTGAGCTCTATTTCCCATATTGGTTCGTGGTTTGATTTTATGAATTGAGTCAAACCCATGAAGTCGGATTGGCGAAATGAGAGCTGATCTTAGATGAACGAACAAGCATTTTAGTAATTTTACTGTAAATTTTGTGACCTCTAATTTACAACATTTTACTAAGACCTCTAATTTATGCCGGGAAGAAAATTTGTTGTCAAAGGTCTTGTTTAAGGTAAATGGTTCTCCTAATAAATCTTTTGACTAGGTTGAATTGTGTTGTATTTTAAATAAGTGATTATTATGCGACGAAATGATGGTTAGTCAGTTTGGAGATCTCATGTGTAACCGCTCAAGTCCACCACTAGTGGATATTGTCTGTTTTGGCCCGTTACATATTCTTATCAGCCTCACACTTCTAAAACGAGTTTGTTAGGGAGAGGTTTCCACACCCTTATAATAAGTAATGTTTTGTTCCCCTCTCCAACCGATATGAGATCTCACTAGACACATTGCTCGTGTTGACTCTAATTCCATTTGTAACAACCCAAATTCACACTCGCAGATATTGTCTGTTTTGCCGTGTTACTTACCGTCATCAACCTCACGATTCTTAATATTAGTCGAAAAAACATTTATCTATTTATTTTTAAATATTTAATTAAAAATGTGTAACTCAATTTCTATTTATATTTTGAAAAATTACCTTTTTTTTTTCGAAATGTTTCAACAATGTCGTTCAACTTTTAAAAGAATCTAAAAAACACACGATAGAATTAATATTTTATTTAAAAAATACTCTTGAATTTTTAATATAATTTCATCCTTAAACCTTAAACCTCACAAAGTTTTATTAATACCCATCAATTTCTTAAAATAGATTAAAAAAAAAAAAACTCTTATCATTATTATGTTTTAAAAAATACCCATAAAATTGTAAAAATAACATTAACACCTTCGTAAAAAGTTTAATTTTTTTTATCATCAATATATGGATAAAAGATGTCTACAGACACCTCATAGATTATCTCCAAAATTTTTAATGTTATTTTCTAGAGTTTATAAATATTTTTGAAGGATATTTTTAAATATATTTTTTTTAAATTAGAGGTGATTTAAAGTTTTTTTTTTTTTAATAAAAAATTAGTGTATTGATAACTAATATATATATATATATAGAAGAACACACTAAAATAAGAGTAAGACAAGCTTCTGTTGATAATAAAACTGAGGCTGACAACTCAAGAGCACACATTTTGAGCCTTAAAACGCTATTTCTCTATCTCTTCGGTCGCGCTTGAGTTAGGTCTTCTCACAAATCGTCCCTGCCAATAATAAAGAAAGCAGTTGATTCGGGTTGTTCGAGTAATTTATTTTTAATAAAAGTAAGTATCAGTATATTTATTTCTAAACATTTATTTAAAATATACCATTTAATTTCAATATATATTTTTGAAATTTTAAAAGTTAAAAAAAAAAATTAAATAGAGGCTTTAATATAAATATATAGTTAAGAAAACGGGCTACAATCAGATGAGGGTGAATGTACCAGAGTTACACACATACCTTCAATCTGGGCCGTAGATCATCGTTGACTTTCTTGACTTGATATCTGATCTTCTTCGAGAGTAAGCGGGTCCGCCTTTTCTCCTTGTACCGTAATACACTGGCTTCTCTTAATAATCCTCCACCGTCCGAAAATAAATCAATCTGCGCCAGCCTGGCCTGCCAATTTCCAAAAGTAACCCTCACTCTTTAGTTCATTTTACTCCATATAAAACAAACAAACAAGGATAATTTCGTCATTTCACCTGAAATTAACCCATTCTCAGTAAAAATAGTTTTGGTATTTACAATATTACCCTTTTTTTTCTAATTTAATTTTTAATTTTTTTATTTTATTCCTATCATTATTAAATTAACGGATTTTTTTATGAGCCGTTTGTTAATGACGGGTAATGATAAAATATATTTAAAAAAAATATAAAGACTAAAAATATATATATTTTTTAATTTTAATTTATTTTATGGGAGGATGAGACAGTAATTAAAAAGATTTGGATTCCAAGAACTCAGGGGAGGAGGAGGGATTTTTTTTTTTTTTTTTTTTTTTTTTTTTTTTTTTTTTTTTTTTTTTTTTTTTTTTT